GGAGTAAACTTCTCTGGTTCCTTTGGCATTATATAAAGTCCAATCATCCTGCGCCGGTACCGTCCGCGGGCCCCATCGGGAAGGAGTTGGAGGCGGCCAAGACAGGTACGCAGGTAACCGGGGAATCGCTCCCCCCACCGCACTCGACGTAGGTACGGTGGTCGTGGTGATCAACGATGTGGAGGTTGCAGGGACCGATCCCGGGTCCCCCTCCGTTGTAGGTAGGATTCCCTCTGCCCCGCTCATGATCACGTCAGACTCGGGACGATAGGAAGATTGAGAGTTCTAACAATATGTTGGATCCCCAAGCATCGAGAATAAATCCACGTTTTAAAGAAAAGCAAAATTTATTTCAAAGCATTGGAAAGACACTCAAACACGTTCTTTGTTAGAACTGACTACAAACGGTTAGAGCAAGCATAATAAAGGGATTTGAAACAGATACAGAACCAATGGGTCACTTTCCCGCTGGCGGGTGAAGGGAAACGGTTTCGCGCTCATTCCCTGAGAACCAGGCTATCCCCAGACATAACACAGGTGCAGTTCCCAGGCTCTAAAAGCAACAAGCTGGCAGTGAAGCGAACTCCCCCAATACATCCTCCAGTTGTTTGGCTTAGGCATTACAGCAGAGTAAAATAATAGCGCACAGGCAGGGGGGTGGGGTAGCAACTGTACAGAGGTACCAGCAACACAGAACACCATGGCAGCTTGCTGACACCCTGCCGGGAGCCACACAATATGTGTGAAAGAGCTGCATGCGGCTCCCGAGCCCACAGTTCAGGGCCCCCTGCTCTAGAGTGATTAGGTGATGGCCAGGGCTATTTTGGGGCAGGAACGCACAGGAACGGAGTTCCGGCTGGCTCCTGAGTTGGCCACGCCCAGCAGGAACTCATTAGCATAATAGGCCACACCCAATAGCAGAAACTCTACATTGGCTACATTAGGGGTGTGTGGCCTAACTTGCAAAGGAGTTCCTGCTACAAAAAAAGGCCCTGGGTTTTGACAACAAACAAGGTAAACAGAATAAGAAGGGAAAGGTGGGTGTGGCTGGATGACCGCACTTCTGGCAACGTGGCGGTGTGGCCTAATGTGCTAATGAGCAGTGCTGTCAGGGTGTGGCTTAACAGGCTAATAAGTTTTGCTGTTGGGTGTGGCCTATTATGCTAATGAGTTCCTGCTGGGCTTTTTCTACAAAAAGACCCCTGGGTGATACTGAGGTCATGCAAGGTCACAGCTTGCATGCCTTACAAGGTACTGAGTGGGTGGCAGCAGCTGGAAAACTATGCCGAGGCTGCTGGCTGATCCGGCGAGGCTGTTTCTAGGCACTACAGCCAAAGGTGTGACCTATCCTTAGTCAAGAGGTGCCCTGCTGGATCCACCCAGTGGTCCATCTCGTTCAGCATCCTGTTCCCTCGGGCCAGCAAAACATGGCACAGAGGCCGAGGCCATCCCCTGATGTTGCTTTCCAGAACTGGTATTCAGAGACTGACTCTGGGTGTGGAGGTTAGTCGTCATGGCTAACGGACATCGATGGGCCTATCCTCCATGCATCTGGTTTTTAAACAAGGGATCTGATACCTTAGCCAGTGGCCATCCACACAGAGTGGATCCTACAATTTAGCTGAGCGAAGTATTTCCTTTTACCCATCGTCCATCAACCACACTGGGTGCCCCAAACATCATAAAAGCTTTCTCTATGCCAGGTGTGAAATTTTAAATAGTTCTCACTTTAGAGAAAAGTGGATACGATAAAATCCCATATTCTTCAGACTCCTTATAGAAGTGATCTAGCCCCTTAACCGACTTGTTTTGCCCTCTTCTCTACCTTTCCCAGCTCTGCAACGTTCTTTTTGAGAGAATGGTTACAGAAAATGCATGTAGGGCTCCAACTAAGGTCTCACCGTAAGGTCCGCACCAGGGTATTATGGTATTCGCCATTTTATTTTCAGTCCCTAATAATCCCCAGCACAGAGGTGGTGTTTTCCACTGCTGCAGCATATTGAGAAGACATTCTCATTGAGCTATCTATCATCCCCAAATCTCTCTCCCTCTCCACCAGTTCAGACGCCATCAGCATGCGTTTAAAGTTACAAGTGTTTGTTTCGGTGCACTTACCTACATTGAACTTCCGTTTGCCCCATTGTTATCCATGTACCCAATTCAGAAAGGGTCCTCCTCGAGCTCTTCACAATCCAATACCTTGGTTTTCACTGCGCCAAATGATCTGGGGTCATTGGCAAATGTGGCCACCATGTTTTTCACTCCTTTTATACTGCGTCTTTCTCCCCAGTGGCGACCTACCCTGTTCTCCTCCCCTCCATTTTGTTCTTACAACAACCCTATGAGGTAGGTTAGGCTGCAAGCGTGTGACTGGCCCAAGGTCACCCAGCAAGCGTCCATGGGGGGGAGTGGGGATTTGAACCTGGGCTTCCCAGGTTCTAGTCCAGCACTAACCACTATGCCACACTGGGTCTTGTATGTCACATCCAATTCCAAATCATTTATATAAAAAATGGGCCCAATACCGTTGTGGGAAAGCACTGCTTTACCTCTATTGCCAGGACAGTCCCTCCCATTCTATATCTGTGTCTTTGATTTTTTGTACCTAAGTGTAGGACTATCTCTATTGAAATTCATTTTATTTGTCTCAGCCCACTGTTCCAGCCTATCTAGATCGTTTTGAATCCTGACTCTGTCTTCTTCAGAATTAGCAATCCCACCTAACTTCGTGTCATCTGCTAATTTGATAAGCATCCCCTCTATGTTTTCTTCCAGGTCATTTATAAAAACATTGAACGCCGGGCCTAGGACCGAGCCCTGTGGCACTCCACTAGAGACTTCCCTCCACGTAGACGCAGAGCCATTTACGAGCCCTTGTTGGGTACAATTTTTCAACCAACCATGAAATCCATCCAACGGTTGCATGCTCACTGAGCCAGCTTGGCCTACAGTTTGTGGACACCAGGGGGTCTGAAGAAAGCACAGCCTGTTCCCTGAACTATGATTGAACAAAGCCTTGGCGAAAGGCAGGGATAACTGCTCTTGCACACAGCTGCTCTATTCCGCCGATAGAGAACACGCGTGTATGTTTTGCAGACACTGTGCTTCACGTCGTTTTAACCTGGAAAAATGTGTGGACTGACGAGCTTAGAAACAGTTTTCCCACATTCCTCCCTGTTGCTGCAGTTCATTCCAAAGTTGGAGAAGTTGTTCCTGGACTTTCAGGATCCCGGCAGAGTAACAGCAGCCAAGATTGGCAGGCTGGGGTGAGGTGGAACAAGAGGATGAAACTGCCCCCTGAATCTGAGACTTCTACTCCTCATCCTTACTCACTCCGGGCTGCTCTTCCTCTGCACAGTTCCTGAAAGGATCTTTCTGGGGCTTGGAAAGAGCTACAGCTACTGATAGGAATGTAGGAAAACTACACCTTTTGCACCTGGGAGTGGTAGGGTACTGCCCATTACCCAACACACCCAGCAGTTTCCCAGGCTGTGGGACCCCCATCCCTGGAGCTAACTCAGACAGCTACTGGTGTGTCAGAAACGGGTCACATGCTAGTGTCTTAAACACTCTGTTGGAAGAATAGCTGCCAAAGAGCCATGAACGCTTGAGTGACCCAGAAACTATTTTATGACCAATGAACTTTAGGCTGGCTATGATGGACCCTGTGCCTCTTTTAGCGCCTATCTGGGTGTCAGTTGAAGGCAACGAGTTGCACGATCAAATCACTTTCCCTCTCACACCAAGCGCCCAAGTGTGTCTAGTTCCAGTCTTTGAATAAGCTCACCCTGGGTCTCTGTGAGCTTTCTCCACATGGAAGCCTGTTCGAAAGTGGATCCTCCTGTTCCTCAATATCCCCACAGAGCCAGATTTAAATTTTTGCAGCCATGCAAGTATCCACAAAATGTTGAAGGATTCAGAATAATCATCTCGAAGAGCAATTTGGGTCGTCTTGTTTGAGCAAGTCCTCAGAGAAGGGGCAGCGGCGGCAGCAGCAAGCAGGCATCCCTTCCCCCTCCCTCTTGCCCAGCTCGAACTCCAAGGGAGAAGCCCCGTCCTCCATCTGCCCTACACAAGGGCTGTCAAGGGGAGGGAAAGCAGCCGGTGCCAAATGTCAGCTATGCTGCCATATTGTTTATGGGCCCGGGTTCGCTTTCATGACCTGTGTGCCAGTTGCTTCCGCATTCCTTTCTTTTCCCTTCTCCCCCCTCCTTATCACTGACCTTATAGCCTGCCTGTGTAGTGTCTTCCCATCAATTAACCGTGTAACTAGTTTCGTTTCCCAGCCTTGGCTCTAACAGCTCTGGTCCTCCTTCCCGCCTGCGGGAGTCAGGCCGATTGGCCCATAGGTGGTGGTGGGGGGGTACATTTGAATACCCTATATCTCTGTCTATGTGGTAGTTATTCCTGACAGTGACTTGTGTCTATGTTACCATAGTGCTAGCAATAAAGTATAACCTTCAAAGAAGCGTGTGCTCTGTTGTTTGACTGTGGGTCCTGACATTCTGTCAAACGTCCGTCCAGCCTGGCCCCCTCCTCCATCTTGTGTCTGTGGAACTGAATGGAAACCGCTGGGAAAACGCCTACATTGCAAAGCAGTTTATCGACCGATTCATGACACAAGGAGCAGAGTATGGGTAGATGCATGAACTTTATGTATCATATTAAAAAAAGAGCAGAGGAAAATGAACTGGATTATGTTCTCTAATGCTATTTCAGTATTTGTTTCCTTTTCTCTTTAAAAAAGTTTTAAGTGACCAGAAACCTTATCCACTATATCAGCCGATCCTGGCCCAATACCCAGGACAGTCCGGCAGCCTGGGGCGATCTGCGTGCGTCCTGCATCCTGGATTAAGCTGACTGTCAGCCCCAGTAATTTGGCCTCGGTCAGGAGCTGCAGAAGAGTTTCCTCGTCTGGAGCCTTCAGGACCACCTTCGGCTGGCCGCAATACTCCCACTGTTTCAGGAGTTCGGGGTTCCGGCGCTGAACTTGCTTGTAGGATGAAACGGCAGCATGGGAGCATTGGGCTGCCACTTTGCCCTTGCCCATCTTCAAGTCGTTACGGACCACGATCACCATCTTGAATTCCCCACCTTCGCCCATGATGCTGGCCTCGTTACCCAGTTCGTTGGCAGGCAGGGTCATTCTGGCTTTGGATGGGCGGAAGAGCCGTCCTCGAAGGCCCCAGCCCAGGCAGACCCCACAGGCGACTCCGGCAATGAGGCTGAAGAGGCCAGGCTTAGAAAGGTAATCCATAGTGTTGCCACAGACTAAGGAGAAAATAAATGTTCAGAGGGTTATTGGAATGCTCACAGTTGTAAAGAATGACAATTTCAGACTCAGAGTGAAGCCTACGTGCTGCATGGGACAGAGACGGAGAGATGGATTTGGAAGGTGAAGACTTGTGTTTAAATTCTTATTGTGACAGGAAGTTTAACATGGAAGCTTTACATCTAGCCACCTTGCAGGCATGCAGTGAGGCCCATGGGAACCCCTTAATGCATACTCCTCTACATTTCTTAGAAGAAAGGGTGGAATGCAGGCATGATTAATAGGCCCAGCTTGTGAACATGCCCCACACTTACTATTTTGCATCGTAAGCTGTTTTCAGACTACTTTAGACCTTTTAGGTGTTTTTATCAGTTGTTTTCGTCATATTGTTTATATTGTAAGCCACCTTGAGTTCTGCAAAGGAGAAAGGTAGCTAATGTTTTAAATAATAACAACACTATTTTCTTGTACTAAAACAGGAGAATAAAAATATTTTAGCAAAGACAGAAAGCTGCCAGAACTGGTGATTTTCGAGTGGTCATCTCTACAGTCACACCACCTGCCCATCCTTCCCCACTGCTGTCGCTTCAGTACTTTTCTCTGGTTATTGACATGACAGTGGTCAGAAGGAACTGGCGGGATGTCTGTGCCCCTCCTCTTTGGGCATGCGCAGTGGGGTTCCCGCACATGACTGGAGAGGCGCGAAAATCCCTTTGTGAGCTTTGCATACCACCGATACAGATCAGCACAGGCGCATAATCCCATGGGTGTGACTGCACAGATGACCACTCGAAGATCACCAGTTACAGGTAAGCAACCTGTTTTTCCATACCATAATCCACCTTTGCAACATCGAAATGTACTTTTAAAGATCCATTCCACTGATGTGTTGGGGGTTGTCTCAGGAATATTTAGACAAATTCCACTTTGCTTTGGGTCCCCCATTCCAGTTTTCTTACTTTAAGATGCATAAAATGTCTGGAGGGGGAGCATAACAAACTGATATTCCCCAACTGCTTTAATTTAGAAAAGAATCCTACTATTTGATATTTTTATCTCATTGTGCCTCCAGTGAGCTCAACGGGGTGCATTCTTCTCTGCTCTTTCATTTTAATCCTGCGAGCTAAATTATGTTGAAAACTACAAGCCCAACATCATCTGACTGCACTTCTTGGCAAAGAGGGCATTTGAATCCAGCTCTCCCTAGTCCTCATGCAATATTCTAACCATGCCAGAACGTGAACAAATCACATTCTCTGGAAGAATTTATTATATATTTCATTTTATAAAAATCCTGCACTCTCCCAGAGGAGGGCCCGTTTGGTGTCGTGGTTAAGTGCGCGGACTCTCGGAGAACCGGGTTTGATTCTCCACTCCTCCACATGCAGCTGCTGGATGACCTTGGGCAAGCCATAGCTCTGTCAGAGCTGTTCTCTTAAGGACAGTTCTCTCAGAGCTCTCTCAACCCCACCTACCTAGGAAATCGAATGAAATAATAAATACCTCACAGGTTGTCTCTTGCGGGGAGGGGAAGGGAAAGGAGTTTGTGAGCCGCTCTGAGACTCCGAGTGAAGGGCGGGGTATAAATCCAATCTCTTCTTCTTCATCCCCAAGGAGCTCAAAGTGGCGCACAAGTTTCCTTTCTTCCGCATTTTCCCCTCACAGCAACCCCGTGAAGAAGGCTGGGCCAAGGAAGAGAGGGACTGAGTGCCAGATTGTGGCCTTGAACCCAGGTCTCCCTAAGGCAGCACTCTAGCCACAACACACCACTATTAGCAAAGGCAAATTGTTTTAACAGGAATAGTTAATGAATTCCAACCCTCCTCTAAGGAGTGATGGGCGGCATGTGAGGTTCTCCCCCTTTTAACCTCACAACAACCCTGTGAGGTGGGCAAGACGCCGCGCCGTCGGGGACTTTCGTGGCTGGGGGCGGAACTCACCCCGGGTTTCGTGGAAGCCCTTCCGCTCCTCCCCGCTTACGTCTTCCCTCCCCCACCACCCATGTGACAAATCAGCAGAGCTCTGCACCTCCAACCTCCTCCTCATGCCTCCTCGAGGCCACCGGGATTCCGATCGCCCCCTTCGCGCCGCCTCAGACCGGCAGCCACGACAAGTTCCGGTTAACACGTCACAAGTGGGCGCGGCCCGTGGCCCCCCTCCCCTCCCTTTTTGCGTGACACAGCGACCAATCGATGACGCGGGTCAGACGCTCGCCCGTGCCCGTGACACCACCGGTGGGCTGGCCAATCCGGAGGGCCCCTGTTTGCGAAGGGCGCTGAACCCCCCCCCCCGTGTGGTGGTGGTGATGATAAGGGCGGCCCCGGAAATGACGCCAACGAGTGCGCTCGAGGACAGGCGACCGGATCCTTGAAGGGGCTGACGTGTGGTGAGACAGAGAGCGAGACAGAGAGAAGCCGCTTCCGGCAAGGGGCGGGGCGGGGCTCGGGGCCCGCCTCCCACTTCCGGGTTGGCCCGCGCCCAGGAGCCGAGAGCCGCAGGAGGGGAAGGAGGCAGCGGCGGAGCCCGAGAAGCCGGACGGAGACGCCGCGCAGAAGAGCCGCGGGCGCCCCGGTGGGGGGAGGAGAGAGAGAGAGAGGAAGGCAAGAAGGAGCCGCGTGAGTGGGGAGGGGCGGCCGAGCTGAGGGAACGCGGTTGCCAGAGGAGACGTGACGGGGTCGAGGGAGGCTGCCCGTCTCCCCATCCCGCTCGGGCCGCTCCCTCGGAGTCCCCTCTCAGGAATGGGGGGGGGGCGGCAGGCGCCCCTTTTGGAGCTCTCGGCGAGTGTCGGCTGGGCGGCCAACGCGGGCTTGTGTTCGAATCCCGACCTCCCCCGCGCCCTGCATCTCACTCGCCCTTCCCCTCGTCAGCTAAAGGGGGACGGGGACCTGTGCTGTTCCCAGGGGCGGATTAACCATTAAACAGGCTAAGCACGTGCTTAGGGTTAGGGTTAGGGTTGGGGAAAGGGTGAAAAGGAAAAGGAAAAAAACGAATGAAGATTTGTAAAAAGCATGGCTATTGTGTTATCCTATGAATAAATTTTTGTGTTGCTGCAACCTGCATTGTGTATCTGATCAGACAGGTCAACCACTAAAATGGACTGGGGGTCAGTGTGGAAAGGAGGGGGGCACCAAGATTGGTCAGTGCTGAGGGCACCCGTGAGCCTTCATCCGGCCCTGGCTGTTCCCACAGTGCTTTCCTTGCTCAGGGCGCTTCACGCGTTCAGGACTCCTGCCCGGTCGTGGCCCCGGTCTGTGCAGTGCCTGCTGGAGCATTGAAGAGGAGATAGGCGAGGCCCCTGCCCCGAAGAGCTTGCAGTCTTTGCAGGTGGTGGGTCGGGGAAGGAGAAGGCTGCAGGCCAGCGAGTGCATTTGTGCCTCTCTAGAGAGGGAAGACTCGGGAGATTTGGCAAGAGTTTTCACAGCTAGATGCGGGTGGGGTGACCTGGTTCAGCTGTGCCTTGCGAGATTTGCGCAGGTGTAGGCCGTGGGTGTCGCTAAAAACTGCCTGCCAGATGGCTGTGAGGTTCAGAAGGCCTGTAGTCTCTGGCATCTGTGCCCCTGTGGTGGGTGAACAGGAGCTTGATGTAACTGTGGAAAGAGCCCAGTCTAGTCTGTTTTATGGTCGCTTTCATCCTGGGTGCCGTGATACACCCTGTGTCTTTTAATAAGCAAACAGCAACTGCTTATTGTATCATAGTAGTAGACAACATGCACCTGCTGGAGCTTCCTATGTGTATTTGTGATAACAATACAGGTGTCCGGCCAACGGAGAGAGGGTCATTTCTGTGCAGTTTAAAAATCCCTGAGTATGGCTGTGCAGATGCTGATTTCTTTCTCTCTGTTCTGTTTTGTCCTTAACTGAGCAGAAGGGTTGCCCTGTCCCTGAGTTAGCCGCACAGCAGCATGCTCCCATAGCTCAAGAATATGGGAATGCTAACTTCCCGCTGGGATCAGTCTAGCTGGTTGAAGGGGGAAATGAGGTTTGTCAAAAAGATATTTTGTTGCAAGACAGCAGTGCAGCTTCCCCAAAGTGGTGGGCTGTAGCATTCTGTGGTGCTGAGGTGTCCTTTCTAAATAGCCTCTGATGTCTGGCAGCCATTGTCCCAGCTGTCCTCCCGTAGAAAGGTCGAGTTTGAGGTAACGTGCATCTTTTCCCTTCAGCCAGAAGGTCCTTCACACCTGAGTGAGATTCTCTCTTGTCCCTTGTACTTGCTCCCTCTAGTGTGCAAATTTAGAATAATTTCCCACCAAGACTAATTCCAAACCTGCTTTCGAAGAAATATGCCCTATACAGGTGATTTTCTGAATCAAAACACGTTTAGAAGGTACCATTTCACAGATTGTGCTTGCTCAGGTTCTGCGGAGCCAGGTGCCTGATACTTAGATGCTTTCCCTGGAAAACACGGAGAGAGCTGGCCCATAGAATCGCTAAGAGTCAGACACGACTGAATGGCCAGCAACAACTGCTCTGTTCCATTACAGTCTATAGCAGGAGTGGCTAACTTGTTCAGAGTGAGAGCAACATAGAATAAACATCAGATGTTTGAGAGCCGTAAGACATGAATAAATATTACACACACATTTTTATTGAAAAAATGCAAATTTGCATTTTATTAACATTAAATGAGACTGCCAAAATAAAAACAAAAAAGGTAGAAACAGACATTGCTGATGATATTTATTTTTTTTCTAATTATATTTATTTAAGAGACAGAGGTGGAAAGAAAGAAGGAAGGAAGAAATTGATAGGGGAGGGAGGGGGAAGGAAGGAAGAGAGAAAGGGAGGGAGGAAGAGAGAAAAAGAAAGAAAAGAGGAAGGAAAGCAAATAGATGGGGGAGGGAGGAAGGGGGAAAGAGAGAGAGAAACAAAGAAAGCAAATAAGAACATAAGAGGAGCCAATGCTGGATCAGGCCAATGGCCCATCAAGTCCAACACTCTGTGTCACACAGTCGCCAGAAATACCAGGTGCCATCAGGAGGTCCACCAGTGGGGCCAGGACACTAGAAGCCCTCCCACTGTTGCCCCCCACCCCAAAGCACCAAGAATACAGAGCATCACTTGTCCCAGACGGAGAGTTCCTATCTATGCCTTGTGGCTAATAGCCACAAATAGATGGGGAGAGATAGGGAAGAAGGAAGAAAGAAGTGGAAAGAAAGCAACTTTAACTTTAAATGTGTTTTTTCAAGCCCCCTCCCCCACACCAGCTGGCTTGGGTAGGGGAAGGGATTTAAAGAGCAGAGGTCATTTCGCGGGGGATTGCAGTCCCCCGGGTGAAGTACGGGGGGCGGGGCACATGACGAAGCCCCGCCCCCTGCTTCCGGCCGCCCCACTCCCGTCCCTCATTCAGCCAGGAGGAGGCAGGAGAAGAGGGAGGGTAAGTTGCTTCCTCCCTGCCTCTCCCCACCCCTGCCTGCCTGGGGCTAGGGAGGGCCTTCACGGGGCTTCCTTACACTCCCGCCGGCCATGCAGGTCCACTGCCGGGCCCCTCATGGGGCTCGGCAGTGGAGCTGCAAGGGCGGCGGCCGGGACCGTTGGGGGCGGGGCGTGTGGCCTTATGACACACTTCTGGTGATGCCAGGGGGTGTGGCCTTATGACACACTTCCGGTGATGTCAGGGGGTGTGGCATATGCTAATGAGTTATGCTAATGAGTTACCCTAGCTCTTTTTCTACGAAACGACCCCAGAGACATACCTTTTCCAAGCTGGCCGGCGGTGCATGTGCGTGTGCTTTGAGAATGCATTTAAAGTTAAAGTTGCTTGCTTTCTCTGCTCCACCAGGGACTACCCAGGGAGGGAAACACTGGCTGGGGAAGGGAAGACCAGTCAAGGAGGCATGCCTCCCCTTCACTTCCCCAGCTGCCCCACCAGGATCCACACAATATGTGTGAAAGAGCCACATGCGGCTCCCAAGCCGCTGTTTGGCCACCCCCGGTCTATAGAGAGATGTGTAGATTTAAAAAGATTTTTCCTACGGTGGCACGCTTGCAAAAGCTGTGAGCAAGTACGGCACAGTGTTTAGAGTGTCAGATTAGGACCTGGAGGCCCCATGGAGAGGGGCTGAGACTCAGTGGAAGAGCCTCTGCTTGACATGCAGAAGGTCCCATGTTCAATCCCCGGCATCGTGTAATTTGCCCCAATCAGCCACTTGGCCTGGAAGACCTAGGTTTGATCCTCCGTCAGCTGCGAAGGTTGCTGAGTGATCTTAAGTTCCAGTTGTTCTGACAGGAATAGTTCTGAACGGGAGCATGCTGCCCAGAGGACCTTTGAAGAAGGCTGGAATAAAATTACAATATATATTGCCACTGGCATGCAAGACAGGTGCAATGACGCCTTATGTGTCACGCAGACCAGTGTTCGTATTATTTATTTGGTTTTTCCATCTCCCCCTTTCTCTCTGTGGTCAGAGTTCTTTCAGCCTTCCCCTTTATCTTTGCAAAAATCCTGTCAGGTAGTTTAGGCTGCAAAATGGTGGCTGATCCCCCCCTCCCTCCTGCCAATCACTCAACAAGCTTCGTGGCAGTTTGAACTTTGGTCTCCTCCGTCCAGGCATGGCACTCTAACTTCTACAGCACAGCAGGACGTATCTCAGGAATCCTACAACAATCCAGAAGAGTAGATCAGGATCATTCTTCTCACATTATGGATGAGTTTGTGGCTGGTGTTGATTTGACTAATACTGTTGACCGCTACACTGTACTGTCTTTTAGTGCTTGGATTTCACTGGGTGCCAAATTTCTTCTGGAGCACATGGATCTGGCTGCAGGCAGGATCTTTGCATTGCAATAGTGCTGTGGGACTTTCTGAATAGTGGTATAATAATTTGAGAAAGTAGGTATAAGCTCCAGTAGCATCTCTAGATACCTTTAAGAAATGTGAGATGGTATGTCTGTTTTGCGGAGCTCTTCTCAAAAGCCAGTTGCTTGATCTGCTAGTTTGATCTGATTAGTTTGATAATGACATCCTGTAAAAACGAATAGTTTTAAAAATAATTGCTCTGAGGTGGTACAAAGACTCTCTCTTATCAGTACAAAAGAGCAGCAGGGTTCTTCCCGTGTATATTTTCATCTGGAACAAACTTCTCTTTGCTCCTTCAAGAGGACTTTTCTCTCTTGTCCTTGCAAGCCACATGGTTCTTTTCTGTTTCTCTCCTTGCTGTTTTCCTTCTGCAGCACTTTGAGTCAGCGTAGTTTAGTTATGCAGAGTGTAAGCTGTGAGCTGGTTCAAATCTCAGTTTACCTGTGAACGCAGATTCAGGTCTCTGATCTGTGTCGGTTCCCCCCACCCCACCAGCATTATGGAAACAGTGCTTGTCTGCCTTGGAAGGCTGTTCAGTGGATTACTTAGTTAACAAATATGAAGTCTTTTCAGCACTTGAAAAGCAGTATGTAAGCACTAAATATTGTCATCATTTGGGGGTGGGGGGGGATATGTGCCATCCAGCTCCACATGCCTTGCTGTATTCTAGACCACTGTGCAGTCCTATCCAAGACTGTCTATATTTGAGTCTGTTTAGATGCTCACAAGCTGGAAGCCCACAAGCAAGTGCCTGGTACAGTGGGGCATTTAGGGGTCATGCCCCCTCACCAGTTAGCCACGCCCACTGTGCTTTCCCCT